AAAAAAAAAAAAAAAAAAAAAAAAAAAAGTTCTGTTACACGGTGTTCCCTTCTTAGAAGGCGTTTAGATAAAATGTAGGAAGACTCTTTTTTATAGGAAACTTCCATAGCAGAAAAGGCTAATAGGCTGCATTTATCTGTTAAAAAATTGTTTTTGTTTGAATGCATAGGACATTTACCTGTTCAAAAGAATAAAATGTACAAGGAGAGGTTTCTTTCCTGCCTCTGCCCTTTTGTCCTATACCAGCCCGCACCCCAACCTCAGAAATCACAGTACTAGTTCCTGGGATCTTTGGGCAGATGTTTTCTATGCATATGTTGTCAAGTTGTCGACTATGAATAAATAGCCTCGCGGCCCCACCTTCAGCACAGATGATGTGCGCCGCCCCCCTGCCCCCAATTCCCTCCATCGGCCCCACCAGGGTGGCTCTGGTCTCTGGTGTTTGCTGCCATGCCCCCAGGGCCTCAGCCGTGCCTGCCAGCCAGAGTGGCTGCCTGAGAAAGTCTCAGGGGACCTAGGATTTCCCGTGTCATCTGGCTCAGGCTGTCGGGACGCTGAGAGTGCAAGTGCCCTGAGCCCACCACCCCTTACACTCAGGGCTCTGGTCTCTGCTGCTCCTCCTGTCAAGCTGTTTTGCAGGTCCTTACTCCATTTTCATTACATCCCTTAGGATCAGTAGTTTCTTGTATAGGTTTTTGTTTTTTTGGAGTTTCTGGCTGTCTTTCTTTTTTTCTTGTCAAAAATAGTATACTTTCATCATAATCTCAGAATTACTCAGACTCTCACTCGTACTGTGTATTGTCTAGAAATCACTTCCTGCAGACCCTCTCACCTCTGACTCCCATCCAGACTGATTATTTTCTAGTTCGGTTGTATAGCTTGCATCCTGGAACTTCTTTTCACTGCACTTCTAGTTTAAATTCACTGTGTTTTAGATCCTTGTTGGATCTTCCTCTTTTTTTCCCCCTAGTTTTACTGAGATATATTTGACATATAATGTATTAATTTCAGGTGTACAACATAATTATTTGGGATGTGTATGTTTAGCAAAATGATTACCACAATAAGTTTAATTAACCTTCATCACCTCACATAGTTATAAATTTTTTCTTGTGATGAAAACTTTTAAGTTCTACTCTCTTAGCAACTTTTAAATGTACCGTTTAGTATTGTTCATTACAGTCACCATGCTGTACATTAGATCCCCAGAACTTACTCATTTTATAAGTGCATTTTGATCACCCTCGTCATCCAGGATCTTCCTCTGTTTTCATCCTCATTTTGTTGTGGTATAGACTCAGGTAACTTTCTCAAAATGATGTGTGGTAATAAATGCACTGTTCTTGAATGTCTTAAAATGTGGTTATTTTAAACTTCCGCTTATTTTGTGGTTTGAGTTTGTATAGAATTCTAACTTTAAAAAATACTCTCCTGGGAGTTCCCTGCTGGCCTAGTGGTTAGGAGCCTGGGCTTTTCATTGCTGTGGCCCAGGTTCGATCCCTGGTCGGGGAACTGAGATCCTACAAGCTGTGTAGTGTGGCCAAAAAAAAAAAAAAAAAAAATCTCCCCTAACAAGATTGAAGGCATTATTCTCCTGTTTTCTTGCATCCGCTGTTACTGCTTCTAGAAATGTCTTCCATTCCGGTTCTTTGTGAGTAAACTTTTTTCCTCCTATTTGGAACTTTTAAGACCTTATTTTAAATACTCAGTGGTGTGAAATGTCATGAGTTTGTGTAAGTCATCTTTCATTCGTTCTGTTCAGCCCTCAGTGAGTCGCAAAAAAAAAAAAAAAAAAAAAAATCTCCCCTAACAAGATTGAAGGCATTATTCTCCTGTTTTCTTGCATCCGCTGTTACTGCTTCTAGAAATGTCTTCCATTCCGGTTCTTTGTGAGTAAACTTTTTTCCTCCTATTTGGAACTTTTAAGACCTTATTTTAAATACTCAGTGGTGTGAAATGTCATGAGTTTGTGTAAGTCATCTTTCATTCGTTCTGTTCAGCCCTCAGTGAGTCCTTTTAAACTGAAGCCATATTTTTCTTAAGCTCTGGAAAATTGTCTTGTTGCTGTCACAGTTTCTGGAATGCCAGACTGATTGCCTGGATTGGTTTCTGGCTCTACCTTGATTTCTTTGACTTTATCTTCCAGATTTTCTGTTGAAAATCTTATTTTCACTCTCTTTTTTTCTAAGTGTTTGTTTTGTCTAGTTCTGTTTTCATGTTTTATTCTGGTTCTATAGATACTGTATCTTCTCAGATCTCTCCAAGCGTATAAATTGGAAATATTTTAGAATTCCCTTTTTTCCTAATTAGCTCTGTAATCTTTACTTCTTTTTTTTTTAACCTAAGTCTGTCTTTTTGTGCTGCTGCTTTTTCTCATAGAATGCAATCCTTAGTTCCCTGTTAGTTTTTTTATTTTAAAAATATATTGGGAATTCCCTGGTGGTCCAGTGGTTCGGATTCCACACTTCCACTGCAGGGGGCACGGGTTCCATCCCTGGTCGGATCCCGCATGCTGCGTGGTGTGGCAAAAAAGAAAAAAAAAAAAAATCTTCCCCATTCTTTGGAGTGTGGGATGATGTTGATGGTTTTCTCCTTTACGTGTCTGAGGTCTGCCGCTCCCATCGCTGCTCACAGCTGAGGAGTTGACTGGCTGGCTTTGCCATGCAGTGTGTTGGGCTGGGTGTCCACCCAGTTCCCTCAAACTGCCGGCCAGTTTTTCTGGAGCAGGGCCCCCTGTAGCTCCATGGCACACAGTGGGTTCTTATCCCTTCTCATGGGGTTTCCGCTGGCACGGTTGCCCGTGGACTGACTCAGCCGCTCTGCTTCCACGCTCCATACCTGCTAACTGCCAGCCAGAAGCGCCACTCGGCTGTGCTTGTCCCTGCTCTGTGCCGTCTCTCACCACACGCCTCTCCTTCCTCTCCATAGAGTTGTTGAAAGTTTCTCTGTCCTGGCCTCTCCCTTCTTCCCTGTGTTGTCTGGGGTTTTTCTCTGCGTGCTTTGTTCCTGCCATCTCTGTGGGTCATGGAGTTTAGGAGATGGCCGCCTGTTCCCAGAGTGACGTCTTAAGCTGTGGAGCTCCTGGAAGCATCTCTGGTCTGGTTTCCCCTCGGTGCTTGGGTACATCCCCTTTGTATAAGAGACGAGTGTTGTGAGAAGCTCACCCAGGTTTGGAAATTATCCTGTTACATAAAGTTGGCTGGAGGATTTTATTTGTTAAAGTGAGCTTGCTCCTGGGAGGCCAGGACTGGTGGAGCCTTGGTCCGCTCTGTCAGGTGTTCACCGCACATCCGAGTTCGTGGTCAGGGACACCCGATTTGGCCAGCGATTGTCTGCATCTGTCTAGGAGTGCGTTGGGCCACTGTTGAGCAGCTGGGAGTGAAGTGAGTTGTGCCTGTGCCTTAGCAGAACCAAGTTAAGTGGTACATTCTCTCAGAAATTGGGTGCAATTGGAGCTGGGGCTCACAGGACCCCCCTGGGGCCTGCATGTGGACACGGTGTGTGCAGGCATCTCTTTCCTTTCCATTGCTTATTTGTGGTTATTTAAAACACAGGTAGGTTATAGTATCAGATTCCACTGACAGGTGTAGACTCCAGTTTGAAAATTCTGTGACACTGAGGGTTTCTTTTCAAGTGCATTTAATAAGCACTTCGCAAGTGACATGGGAGGGCCATCTCCAGACTGTTTTGATGCCTTGACTGACATCACCCACCCGTGAGAAAGTCCTAATGCGGACATTATGCAAATACTATTATAAAAGATTTTTACGTTATAAAACACAAAATTTAAAATTTAGAAGAAGTGGGGGGAAAACAAACCCGGAGTTCTGTTTTCTTTCCTCTCCGTTTACTGATCTGCTGAACATCCTTGGGTCCATGTGCTTGGGATCCTGCTGGCCGGGGTACACACATGAAATAAGGCCCCCAGTCCAGCAGCTCCAGCGCTGTTGTGGAGACAGACGGTGAGAGCAGGGAGAGGGCGTTTCCAGCGAATGAGGAGATGGGAGAACAAAGACAAAATATAAAACCAGAGCACCTGGCCTCACCCTCCTGGGTGAAAGCTGAGCTGTGGCCACAGATGGCACAGCAGCTCCTGGCAGGCAGCAGAGCCGGGCTCGCGGCTGCTCTGCCCCCCCAGGGCGTGTCCTCCGGGGCAGGGCTGCTGTCCACGCCAGACAGCAGGGTGGGCGTCGGGGGAGCACACCCCCTGCTGCCGGCCCTGCTTACCCTCTGCCCAGGGAGTTGGCCTCCCCTAACCAGAGTAGAGTTTGCGGCGGGAAACCAGCGGTTCCCACAAAGCCCCCCACGTTACCATTATGCATATCGAGACATCTTCTAGTGCGTTTCCTTGAAGGAGATGATGATGCAGAGGCTGCTTCACGTGTGAATTGGTTGGTATGGTTTTCGTCATTCAGAGAGCCTGATGACCCTTGGGCTGGTTTTGCATCTTGTTCTCCTGCAGCGTGTGGTCAGGAGCCTTGGAAACCTCCGTTCCCTCCCACCCTGGAGCACACCGGCCACCACCTTCCCAGCGTGAGATGATTCTCCTCCGCTCTGTTCCAGGTCTCTGTGGCCCTCAGCAGCAGCTCCATCCGGGTGGCCGTGCTGGAGGAAAACGGGGAGCGCGTCCTCATGGAAGGAAAGTTCACCCACAAGATCAACACCGAGAGCTCCCTCTGGAGCCTTGAACCCGGGAAGTGCGTTTTGGTAAGTGTGGGCAGTGGTGCTGTGAGGGTGTTGATTTCTGCCAGCTGGGGAGTTTGCTCGGTGTTTTCGGAGCAGCTCGAAGGGCACCTTTGTGGGCCTCAGCTGACTGTCACTGCTGCATCTACAACCTTGGCCTCTCGGCGTCCCACTGCTTGCTTCCTTGAGGTGGGGCCTGTGTCAACAACAAACTGAGGGGCGCTGGAGTGCAGTGTTTCTCACTGCTTCCTGTCTTGCCCATGCACAGACTGCATGCAGTGACCATGGAGGAGGTCCTGCTGGGGCATCATCCCCAGAGCGCGGCTGTGCTCACACTGGACATGTCCCCTCAGTTCCAGAGGCTTCTGCTCTCCAGGGATTCAGTTACATCTACGGCAAAACCAAAGAAGTTAAAAATTAAAAGGCAGGTCGCTTTCACAAATGCCAGTCTGGAGGATGCAGAGTTAATAAATTCAAACAGACAGCCTTATTTGACAAAGTGGGTCTCAACTGGCTAAGCTAGCCAAGGCTGCAGGATCCAAACGAAGGGGTACGTGTTCCAGTTACTAGATTCTTTGGTGGCTCCATCCTCCCTCGTCAGAGCCTTGCACCTGGTCAGTGGGCAGCACCCAGGGAGGCTTCATACAGCGAAGGGAGACTATATATTTGGGTTCATTCCTTTCCTCTTACTTCCTGCTGGGATGCTTAACCAGGGAGTGGTGAAAGGGGTAAAGATGAAAAGAAAAATACTAAGTCCTTGGGCACAAAAGACCTCAGAATTTTATTTAGGCATGTTCTTTATATGTGCAAAGTGTGCCGTTTCGTCATGATCCACTCTCTCTGGGAATAGGTGCCCATGGGCCTGCCTGCTTGGTCCTGACCGACAAGGCCCGCGGTGCTCTCTTCTGGCTGCTCGCGGCTCGCAGACACACAAACCCGTTGGAGCGGAGAGCATTCCATCACTGCTGGGGGGGCTGGAGGTCTCGGCATGCCCGGGACCCCCGAGCACACACAGGCCCCTCTGTGTGACAGGAACACCCGGTGGCAGAGCGCCGGCCAAGTCTGCCCGAGTCTTGCTTAAACCGTGCTCTGTTGCACCTCCCCTGCCCTTCCGAGGTTTCTGCTTCTCGCCACTAGTGTGCAACAGTCATGATGATTTCCCCCTTATCACCCTGGGGTTCAGTCGCTCGTCTGTTCACCCCCGTGCCTCCCCACCCCCAGTGCCGCTCCCCAGACTACGGCCCATGCTCTTAACCACCAGTTCCATTTGCAGAATACCTTCATGGGCATGGTCTCATTTGCACCTCCCACGATTGTGGGAAGTAGGAAGCCAGGGTCTCATTATCCCCCTGCCTCCCGAGGTCATGCGGGCAGCCAGCGGGAGGCAGTGGCAGGCAGCCCACCCTCTACTGGCGCCGCTGTGATGGCTCAAGTGGTCACAGGGAGCGTGTACCCGTGATCCTGGGTGCCCCATTGTCCACGGATGCCGGGCCTCACTCCTCCTGTGTGTTGATGGACTGCCCAGAACTGTGCACTTAGAGCTCGTCCCGGCAGACAGCTGCTTGTGCTTTGCTCCCTCTGAGGGGTGCTTCTGTTGTCTTCAGCCCTGTTGTCTTCGAGTCCCTGCCTGGGACGGAAAGACTGACCTCGTTGCTGGATCCTGAATGTCCACAGCCACTGTTTACCCACTGGTCTGTCGGGGTTGTGATCAGGGTACCGAGGATTCCCTGTACTTGACGTGGCTTCTGCAGAAATGTGGTTGTTAACCAGGTTCCTCACTCTTGGGATTTTCTTTGCCAGAGGTGATGTTGACTTCTTCATGCCTGTTCCAGAGCCACGTCACCTTTTTTGCGTGTTTTGTACAACTTGCGTCTGAATACGGACGTGGCTCGTGGCCAGGGCATTAACTCCTTGTAATTATGGCCTCCATCTATTGGGTACACTGTGGCCCTGGCTCTGTGAGGTGCCTGGTGGTGCTTTTTCATCTCTGCAAGCCTGTTGTACAAATCAGTATGCTGGCGCTCAGAGAGGGTGAAGAGCTTGCTCAGGGTGGAGCCAGACCCCAGACCCAGAAGCCTCCCGCTTCCCTCCTTCTCTGACTTTCAGCTGAAAGGCACCCAGGGGCGAGTAGGCGCGGGGAGGAGAGCTGGCAGCGGCGCAGCGTAGCTTGTGACCAACAGCCCCGGGCCAGCAGGGAGACTGGTGCGTCGCCTTCCCTGCTGACCTTGATGAGACGGCCTCGGCGTCCGGTCATGAACCCAGGCCCCGTGGGCGTCCCAGGCCCTCCTCTGGTCCAGGGGGAGGCTTGTGCCCTGGCTGCCTTTTAGTTTTCCAGTTTGCTTTTGCCAAGCACCTGCTGCTCGAGGAGTTATAAAGAAGCAGAACGGGCTGTGGTGCACCTGTCACTGCCTGTGAGCGTGGCTTCTGGCTGTTCTGCTCCTGTGTAACCCTGCGAGGTCCACGGAGACACCTCTCTCAGAATTGCAGGTGCTGGGCTGGTTCTTTCCCGAGGTTCCTTCGAGTGGCTTTCATCATCCGTGGATGGCATCACATTTCTAATGCTGCTCCACCACTTGTAGAAAAAGAAGAGGACTTAGTTTAGAGCATCACATCCTCTTCCGGAGCTTCCCTGCCAGCCCAGCCCCCTGCACACCTGGCGTGCACCTTCTCACGAGATGCGGGGATCCTGCCTGTCTCCGCCTCCCTCCTGACCACGGTCCTCGGGTACAGCCGAGGCCAGTGTCTTAATGGAGACATTGCTGCTTATGGAGCTGAAGGTTTGGTATGTTCTCAGTGTAATTATTTATTTACTGGTAACATTGAGGACCACGTATCTGAGATGATATTGTAGCTCAGTAAGCACATGGCTTTGATGTGCGAAGACCCTGGGGCCTTTGCTGACCAGAACAAGTGCCATTCCCTCGAGCCTCTGGAGGGGGAGAGCGTGGCTGCCCAGGTGGCCAGGCCTGCTTTGTGCCTCAGCCCCACTCACTGGCCGCCTTTAGCGTCACTGGACCTCCATTCCTCGATCTTAAAGTGAGGCTCAGAGCCTTGGTTGGTCGAGCCCCAGACATTTGTTGGTTGCTTATCACTAAGTGCCAGACCCTGTGCTGGGCACTGGGGCAATTAAGGAAAATAGTCAAGGGCCCTCCTCCTAAAGGCTGAGTGGGCCGAAAAGGACCCCCAGATGTCCTCGCCAGATCCCAGAACCTGCAAATAGGTCCTTATTTGGAGACAGGGTCTTTGCAGATGTGATGAGGTTAAGGACCTTGCGATGATGAGATCATCCTGGATTATCCAGGTGGGCCCTAAATCCAGTGACAGGTGTCCTTACAAGAGGAAAAGAGACAGACACAGAGTGAAGTGAAGACAAGGCAAGGTCCCCTGGAAGCTCTGGAGGGAGTGCAGCCCCGCGACACGTTGGTGTTGGCCTTCCAGACTCTAGATGGAGAGAAGTAAGTGTCTTGTTTGAAGCCCGCAGTGTGTGGCGCTTTGTTACGGCTGCCCCAGGACACTAGCCCAGGCCTTACGTGGCATGATCTCTGTGGGGGCCACTTGGGACAGGAGGGGTCACCCCAGGGGTGCCTGTCACCTTACCAGAGTCCGTGGTCCGGGTCCTGACCTCCCAAGCAGGCCATGCAGACATGCCCCTTGATGCCCAGCCACCACTCCCTCCTTGCCAGAGCCGGATCCACATTAGACACGCCCGGGCAGGCTTTCAGAGCAGGCAGGGGTGGCAGCTAAACCCGGATGACAGCTCCTGCCTCCCTCCCTCCCACACTCGAGAATGTTAAATGAGGCTTCTTGATTCTGAGGCAAGCTCCTTTCTTGGTTCCTGAGACGTGAAATCGGGGCCTCCCCCCGTGCCTTGTTCTGTCCCAGAACCCACCTCAGCTCACTGTCCTGGTTTCTCCCTGCAGGTGGGGCTAATGGCCCTGCCATGGGCACCTGCAGGCCATGGCCTCGAGCCCTTGAGGCTCCGCGGTCTCGGCATTTGTAGCCATTCATGAGGCGACGCCAGTCCACACTCTGACACGATCCACACTCGAGTCATTTAAAGCTGGTGCAGTAGCTGCAGAGTGTTCACAGACCTTCGTCTGCTTGCATTAAAGCTCGCGCTACTGGGTGTGTCTGGTGCTTGAACCTATGAGTGTTTTTATATAAGCTGTGTGCCCCGTATTTAGATTATATATTTAGATTACAGTTCTCAAAAGTAGAGTTACAGGCTGAGTGTAGTCCTCGGCCATTGCCGTGGGCTCCCCCAAGAAGGATGTCGGATTTCCGTGACATCAGCAGATCCCTGTGTGCCCTGGCATTGGGCTGTTTTCGAGTGGGGATGTGTGTTTCTCTGTGAAATGGTTCACCACTTTTGTTTTGTCGCTGGTGGCCACTGGCCCCCTGCCTGGCTCTGAGGGGCCATTGTTCAGCTTAAAATACAGGTTAAATTACGTTAGTATTTTGGCAAGAGCCCAAAGCCTGGAAATTAGTCCAGGGACTGAAATGCGAGTTCTTGGCCTTCAGTGCTCATGTCTCCCAGGACCCATCGTGTTTCTCAAGGTGGTCACATTTTTGGCATCATCACCAACCCCTGGATCTCCACCGGGTGTTGAGAGGCAGGTAGCCAGAGTCCGCACGTTCTGGAGAAGTTGCCCGTGAATAGAAGGGACGTGTCAAACAGAACCGGAAGACCACGCTCCTGGGGGACAGAGTGCGCGTCCCCTCGTCCCGCGGGGGAGGAGAGTGGAGGCGCAGCTTGGCACTACGTGGTCACCTGCCTCGCAGCCACAGCCCACCACAGCCGGGTTCTGTCTGGCCCTACGGTGCTTAATGTTTAAGCTTAAAACACTTGTCGACGACATTAAAACCAGGAGGTTGCCCACCGCAGTGCCGCCTCTGGCAGAGCCCTGCGAGGCCAGCGGTCTGGCCGGGGCCGTGTCCTCCCCACAGAAGCACCTGGAGCTGAGTAGGCCCCTGCTGCCTCTCCCTGTCCTCTGTCCTTGTTTCAAGGCGCCCCTCCGAAGCCC